ACAGCCAACAACCCTCTCTCCCCTAGTCCCAGCCTTAAATCCAACCCTTTAGATACTGCTCCTGCGGTGAATTTACCATTGACCCCTAACTCTTGCCCCAACCCCGCCAATAAATCTATCCCCTAGCCCGAAAATGCTGATCCCGTGTAAGTCACCCTTAGCTGCGGTGCTGAGTGGAGCCGAGTGGAGAGTGTCGAGCTCGAGTCAATTCAATCGCAACAAACACCATCCCCGCGCTCAACCCGAGCGGAATTTATATTCCATCTAGTGCGCGGGCGTGCGCGTGTATTTGTGTGCGTGCAGCTGTCTGTGTGCGTGTGTGTTGAGGAGCGGTCGTGCCGCGGTTAGCACACCGCGCTGCAAACCCGGTGGCCCGAGTTTGATTCCCGCTCACAGCTAACACCAGTGACTTATCTAAACCGGTCCTGGGCCACCCCTAGGTCAACTCAGCCTACAATTGGTACCTGGTGCGGTGCGTAAACATCACAGCAAGGGAGACAAAGGCGGTCGGGGGTGGTGTTGGCCACCCACCACTTCTTGCGCCATGCCAGCCTTCATAGGTGCTCACTTACACTTGACCCAACAGTCTGCTGAGGCTATACGGGGCATCTTTGTCTTTGCATCTGCGTGTGGGTGTCACTGGAACCATATTGACTGTTCCACGCGAGGTGTCACCGAGCATAGATTGACTGCACGGTGGCAGGCAGGGAAGCAGCTGGAGAGAGGGCGGCAGGGGAGACTGGGGAGTGCAGATTTCTTGGACCCACAGTTCCAGGACCATACTACCAAGTCGCGTAACATTGACGAGAGCCGGGACGATCGGTCGATTACGCGGAGACGAATCGACTAAAATTGTAACGGCTCCTTTTGTTTTGCAGTCGGTTACTCGGAGCTGGACAAGCCACGCTCGGCGTGCCGTGCCAGACGATGCCGATGAGGTCGCCCATCACCTCCCGTTCATCGGCACACGTGCGAACAGACGTGATACTTCTATTGCCAGCTTTGCCTCGCTTTATGCAGGTTTAGTTCGTGTGATTTTGCATGCATGCGGCTAAACCGTTTCTATCTGAGATTTGCTCCATGCGGTTTGAATTCACTCGACACGGGGTTATGCGGTCAGACGTGGAACAACATTGTGGTGTGTACTGTGTGTGTGTACCGAGTGTACTGTGTGTGTATTGGCAGGCAGCTGTCTCCTAGCGCGGTGCATTGTGGGTTGGGTGGCCTTGCGGTCCACGCGACGAGATTTCTCGTTGTGCGCCCCTCTCTTTAGAATGCATCTACTACTACTGCACGAAGCCACTCCTTCCGTGGGACACGTCCAGCAATCAGGCAGGTAATCGAACTGATAATCGCCGGAGTAAGAATCGAATTCCACCCCAGACCAAATCCATTCTCACGCTTGTGCTGAAGAAGGCAGTGGCGACTCGTGACACTTCCACGAGGTGGGGCTGTTGTGAGTGACCTCTGAAAAGACGGTGTTCTAGTGATGAAAAACCTCGTCGTGTTATCGGCCTTCCCGTGAAAGTGATACAACAACTGTCTCATCCACCAACGGTCGGCATTTTTAAACAATACGAAACCAAACAATAAAGCACTCAAATGCTGTCCCCATGACCCTCAAGTCCACACGACACAAGCCCTTTGACTCTGCCAAAAACCTCGAGCGTGTAAAGCGTGAGCTGCTGTATTTCCCCAGTGCAACCTCGCGCTGTGACATCGTCTCATTACAGCCACGGGCGCCTTTTTCACCATCACCCTGAATGGGTCTCAAACGGCGTGGCCAAAATACTAAAATCTGATCGCTGTGACTAAAGGGAAATCTCTCACTCGGACGCCTTCACAGCCGCCCCGAGACCTCCCCGAGGCACAAGTCAGACTCTGGTGTTGCAGCGGTTTCCAATACGAACTTAAAATATTATCTTCATTCTGCACTTCGCATCGAAAGAAGCATTACGTTTAAATTATTTTAAACACAACAAAGCAATTTATAGAAAAGTAATTTTCTTTTTATCAGAAAATACTTTTCTCATCACCAGCTGCTTGGTGGGGCGGTGCCCCAACGCCCCGAGTGGACGAACCGCACCGGGAAGGAGCTCATTTGCCGATTTGACGTGAACGTTCGTTTTCCCTTTAAGACGACAGCGCATTGACGAGTGCGTCGAGTCGTGCACCGCTGCCGACGCAGCAGCAGCAGCAGCAGCGTCATCACCAAACAATCTGTTCGAGTTCCACGCGCTCGCGAGTCACGCGCCCGTCCACGTTCGTAGTAAAGAAAGAAAGCGCCGTGCTAATTCGGATTAACGGTGTCCGGTGGCACGACCACCGCCGCGGAGACGGAGCGGTGGCAATCGGCTCGCAGGCGCCAAGTGGAGCGTCCGTGGCAGGGCCCTAATAAGGGAATGGACGACGGCTCAGTGTGGGCCCTCATCCAGCAGCGGATTTGATCACGGCCGATGATGACGGTGACGACCGTGAACACATCGTTCCATGCGATGTGTTCACGGGAATCCCGTAAGGCCTCGGTATATGCCACGCGTGCCACGGAGTCATCGATTCTTAAGCGGATCGTGACGCCCCGAATCGTGACAATTCATCAACTCATCGCGGTGGGGTGGGTGGGGTGTTACAGGGCCTCATCTGCATGCTCGGAGCATCCACTCTCTCCACCGCCCGTCTCCCCGCACCGTCGCTCTGCCTTGCCGCTGTCCACTCGCCGTCTTCAAAACCCTCCACGGACTCGCCCCAGCCTGCATCTCATCTCTCTCCCTCCCCCTCCCCCCCACACACACACACGCACTCTCCTGCCTCTCCCCTCTCATCTCACTCTACTCCCCTCCACGCACTCTCCTACCTCTCCCCTCTCATCTCACTCTACTCCCCTCCACGCACTCTCCAACCTCTCCCTTCCCATCTCACTCTACTCCCCTCCACGCACTCTCCTACCTCTCCCCTCCCATCTCACTCTACTCCCCTCCACGCACTCTCCTACCTCTCCCCTCCCATCTCACTCTACTCCCCTCCACGCACTCTTCTACCTCCCCCCTCTCATCTCACTCTACTCCACGCAATCTCCCCTAAGTCTCCCCTCCCATCTCACTCTACTCCCCTCCACGCACTCTCCTACCTCCCCCCTCTCATCTCACTCTACTCCCCTCCACGCACTCTCCTGCCTCTCCCCTCTCATCTCACTCTACTCCCCTCCACGCACTCTCCTACCTCTCCCTTCCCATCTCACTCTACTCCCCTCCACGCACTCTCCTGCCTCTCCCCTCTCATCTCACTCTACTCCCCCCCACGCACTCTCCTACCTCCCCCCTCTCATCTCACTCTACTCCCCTCCACGCACTCTCCTGCCTCTCCCCTCTCATCTCACTCTACTCCCCCCCACGCACTCTCCTACCTCCCCCCTCTCATCTCACTCTACTCCCCTCCACGCACTCTCCTACCTCTCCCTTCCCATCTCACTCTACTCCCTCCACGCACTCTCCTACCTCCCCCCTCTCATCTCACTCTACTCCCCTCCACACACTCTCCTACCTCTCCCCTCCCATCTCACTCTACTCCCCTCCACGCACTCTCCTGCCTCTCCCCTCTCATCTCACTCTACTGCCCTCCACGCACTCTCCTACCTCTCCCCTCCCATCTCACTCTACTCCCCTCCACGCACTCTCCTGCCTCTCCCCTCTCATCTCACTCTACTGCCCTCCACGCACTCTCCTACCTCTCCCCTCCCATCTCACTCTACTCCCCTCCACGCACTCTCCTGCCTCTCCCCTCTCATCTCACTCTACTGCCCTCCACGCACTCTCCTACCTCTCCCATCGACTCCACTCTGCTCCGAAAGCAAAGGCTCTCTGGCGAAGGTCCCAATCAACCTACGCTGAGTGGCAAGGTCACTCTCTCTCCTGCGCTGCCCTCACTGTCTAGAACTCCCTTCTCTCCCCCTGCCATCTGTGCTCACGACTCCTGCTCCATCCACGCACAATGCGACGGGCTCTGCGACGCTTGCCAACGTCGGCTTCTTCTCAGCAGCATTGAATTCTGACCTTCACGTGTGAAGCCGCGTCGCGCGATGACGTTACACGCCGCATTGGCGTGCCGCTGTGCGAGATGGCGAATCCTTTTAGCACCGATTTGACTCCAGGTTTAGTGCAGCAACCCTTTGATCAATGCGGCCGGCTTTCTCCGCGGGGGGAGGGGGGGGGTGTTAGTCCCGACCAGCAACACAACTCTACACTCAAGCGTCGGTCTCATTCAATCATCCGCACAAGTGCGATCGTGACCCCCCTCGTTACACGCGGACAGACAGACACAGCTCAACGCATTAACGCAGCTTTACACCTTTGTTGGAAAGCGTGAAAAAAAACTCAACACGTTGAGGGTAAACGCCATTTAGATAACGGACGGCTGCTGCTGCTGCCACCGCTGTGGGTACCCGAGGAGGAGGCCCTTGCCCTTATCATCGTTGCTATTTGTTTTAATCGATTTGGATGAGGAAAGTGGGGGGGGGGTCCCTGGGCCGCCCCCCCCCCCCGGTTCTACAACTTGATCCGTCATCAAGGCCACGTTAGCGAGCACCTATTAGGGGTTGCGCGCCGCGTGTCCTGCACAGCATGTTGCTCTACCGGTGGTTAGTCGGTGAGTGTGTAGTGTGGTTAGTCGGTGAGTGTGTAGTGTGGTTGGTCGGTGTGAGTGTGTGGTGTGGTTAGTCGGTGTGTGTGTGGTGTGGTTGACCGGTGTGTGTGTGGTGACGGTTGCGGTGTGTCGCTTGGTGCGTTGGAGTGGATTGTGTGTTTGTGTGGTGTTGGGGTTCTTTTGCATGCTCGTGCCATTCGTCGTGTGTCGAGTGTTGACCGGTGCATAATAGAATGCTGCACTTACCGGTGTGTGTTGGTATTTTATGTAATAACTGGTGTGCTCCGTGTTGTGTTGTTGTCGCGGCGCGGGTCGTCGTGTTGTGTGCCGCGGAGGTGCTGGTGGGACCCCGAGGGACGCACCTCTGCGATGAAGACGATGATGAGGCAGTCCCTCTTTTCGTTGGGCGAGAGCTCCTGGGTGAGCGACGCGAGGGTGTCCATCAGGTAGGTCTGCACGGCGCGCCTCACCGTCGGCACACCCAGCACCACCGACACTGCACCACGCAGCACACCACCCCACACAATAATAGCACAACAACAACACAACAACAACAACCTGCAATCCCACACACCACTCCACAGTGCCACCCCCCCCCCGCCTCACAGCCAACACCATGGGACCAAACATTTCCAAAAAAAAAAATTTCTTCTTGCGATGAGCACAGATTTCACTGTATGGCAGCTCCCCACTCCCTCGAGAGCATCGCTGGACTCTGCGTCACCCACGCGTGGCCACGGCTACAAGGTCACGGCGTCAAGGTCACGGCGTCAAGGTCACGGCGTCAAGGTCACGGCGTCAAGGTCACGGCGTCAAGGTCACGGCGTCAAGGTCACCATGCGTCACGTGGAGGGCGTGGTGGGTGAACCCTTCATGTGTGGAGCTGACAAATGGAATGGGGGGCGGGGGGGGGCGGGGGGGGCGTGGGAGGGGGGAGATATGATCTACTGTGGGGGGGGGGCAGGGGGCATGATAAGATGGTGATGACGGTAATTATATTTTCTCTTAGGGGGCGATAATTAGTGAAAGCGTATCACTTTGTCCTTCCAGTGCATGTTGTGATACTTTCTCCGGGTCATCTCAGTCTAGCCGCTCCATTGTTGTAAATGTATTGATCGTGGCTGCTGCTGCTGCTGATGGTGGAAGGAATTTTATGGTGGCGAGGAGGTGAGGGGTGAGGTGAGAAGAGAGGAATGACTCGGGGATGAGCGGAAGGAGGAGCGGGGAGGAGGCAGGGGGAGTGCGTGCAGAGAGGGGGTGGGGGAGAGCAGGGAGATGGATGGATGGGAGGCGAGCGGAGGATGAAAGGAGCGGGTTTTAAATGCAGGCGAGGTGCGAGTGATAAATATGAGAGCAAAAACGAGGACTGGGCCAAGGCTGGCAGATCGGGAATGAAGAATGGAATTGTTGAATCGCATTTAAAATACGAGATACGCACGCATATGAACACATGCGTATGCACGCGTGTAGAATCACAGACGCATGCACGCACGCACGCCACGTACACACAAAAGACAAAGATCACCCGTATAGCCTTAACGGACTTTTGGGGCAAGTGCTGTTAGCGAGAACCGACGAAGACCGGCACGGCACACGAGGGGACGGGTGGCCAGCACCACGCCAGGCTGCCTTTGTCTCCCCAGTGGAGATGTTTACACACCGTCCCAGGTAACTCATTTCAGACTGAGCTGACCTCGGAAAACCCAAGGACCTGTTCAGATATTCACCACTCGGCTATCCCAAAAATCCAACGCGCGTCTTCCTGGTAGAACGAGCGGACTGCTCCAGACGGCAGCCACCCACCCCCGGATGCTGCCGGGAAATGTCTTAGAGCGTTAAACACGCACAATATCAGTCCCAGGTGCTTTTTGTTGTTGGTGTCGTTGTTGCCGTTACAAACGCCACGGAAAAGAAGATAAATATGACAAGCCTCAGTTATTATGCTCAACGATCCACGCACGATTCTGCATTGACAAGACCGAGTTGTTTTCTCGTGAGTTTTTTTTCTACGAATAAAAAAAAAATTCTCCCAACAGAAAGGCCAACGACAGGGTTAGCGCGGCGCGTCAGGGCTGGGAGGCGCGCTAATTGAGACACCGTTACAGACTCCAGGACGCCGTGACAACTCTCTCGCGCTCTCTCTCTCGCACACTCATCATCTCCTCTCCTCCACCAGCGAGTCGGCAAACTCTGCGTCCGCAGCACTCGGCTTTCATCATCATTACTATCACTACTACTACCAGGACTGCTAACTGCCCTCGTTTGCTCACTTTTTTTCAGGAGGCTCCCGCAAAATGTACACCGTCCAGGCGGGGAGGGAGGGCGATGATCGCTTTATGCAATTCCAATTGAGTCATTTTTCGGGTGGGTTTTTTTTCCATTATTCTATAAGTGTGGAGAACACGACGCCGGGCACACGGCGGCCTGCTCTTGCAAATGACGCCGCGGGCTCCTTAACGTCCGCTTGCGAGTGAAGCCGGACGGCACTGTATTTGCATCGTTGTGGTAACTCCACACCGCTGCATTCACCAGGGCCGCTGCTGGATTCGAACCGTGAGCCTCCTGCGACAACGAGCGGCGGAACCGCGTCGCCGCCCAGCTGCGAGTAAAAGATAAAGGCACAGCGCTGCAACGGTCTGCTCACGGCGCTGCTGGCAGAAGGGGCCTTTCGCACGCGAGGGAGCTCTAGAGGTTATGCTGGTCGACTGTTCCACACTGGCCACACGTCTTTGAAGAGGTGGGATTTACCCACATTTTACCCCACCATACACGACATATGCCGATGGACTAACGGTAGTGCATCCATTTGCGTGGACATAGGCTGCCCGAGGTCTGGGCACCCACCGGGGGCCTCTCGCAAGGGCGGTGCAGCCCTGCCGTGTTATAGAGGGGAACCCACAACGGCGGATACCAAAGAGCTACCTCCGAGAATCCCTTCAAGACGACATCTGGTTCACACGGTTAGGGGACAGCACTTTCGCACGCGCCCTTGAACTGAGAGTAATGTTCGTCGCGTGACGGCGTGATAGTCCAGGATTTACAAATGTATATTTATAGATTTTGTTTTTATTCTAGGCAACTGTGATTAGTCGCATTAAGTGGAGAGCAAATTAAATCGTTGCGATAATTTTTAGTTTTACATGGCCATCGTCGCTTAAGCAAATTGCATCGCACAATCACGGAGGCACCGCGGACAAGCTAGAAGGCACCCAGGCGGTGAGATGGTGCTAACAATTGCCCAGGCCCTGTTCTCCTATATATTTGTACATGCGACACCATAAATCATACTGTCATCATCACCCGAATCATCACCGTCATTCATGAAATAATATCATCAATCGTCATCATTCAATAATATCATCATCGTCGTCATCATCATCGTCGTCATCATCATCGTCGTCGTCGTCATCATCATCATCGTCATCGTCGTCGTCATCATCATCGTCATCGTCGTCATCATCATCATCGTCATCGTCGTCATCATCATCATCGTCATCGTCGTCATCATCATCATCGTCATCGTCGTCGTCATCATCATCGTCATCGTCAGGGTGAATGCAGGCATCCACAGTCGATGTGCCTCCCCGCACTGCATCGATCGGGACGGGTGGCGAGTGCCCGCTGATGAAGCGAGCAACTTAACAAAAACACTCCCTATCACTCACACGGATGCACATACGTGGATAAATCACACACAGACACATAGACCTAGTCAGACCATCCCCCCCACCCCCCATACAGCATTTCAGACTGTTGTTAGCAAGTGCTGTGTTGGCATGCGATGGCCAGCACAGCAGAAGTCGGGGTGGGTGGCCAACACCACGCCCGGCCGTCTTCATCATCTCACCACACACACCACGCCAAGAACACCTTAACATGCCCATCGGCATATTGTGGCGCTGCCGTGTTCGCTGCGCTTCGTGCGCCGCTGCCAACAAGATTCGTTTCAACGTGCACACAAACTCGCGTGACCTCCTCCTCCTCCGTGTCTCTCAACGTCCGCTCATCTCACTTTCTCCAAGAGCCGGAGCGAGATGAGGTCGCGTGCTCTCCGTCGAGATTATTTCACGTGGATTTTTTTTCCCCTTCCTTTCTCTTTCTGCTGTACACCCCTCGCAGATTTCACGACCGAAAAATAGAAAACCCGGCAAGAGAGTTGGGGACGCTCGTGGCGGGCGGGCGGGCGGGCGGGCGGCGAGATCCGATCTGCCGCCGGGCGCACACCGTCCGGCTTAAGCAGCGCGGTGTCCGTCGTGCAGGCGAGGGACACGCGCGCACAGCAGCACACACTCAACCTCGTGCCACGTCCAGCCGCGCAGACGCGTCGTGTAGCGCGATTTCTGGGGACAAACATACGCTTGGCCACGTACACAGCAGCGCGAAGAGCTCACAAACCCAAAGCCGCACGGGGCGAGGGGCAACCCGTACAAGAATGTCATGGGTCTTGCGAGAAAGGGGAGAGGGTGTGGGTAGAGTATGGGGACGAGTAAACACCCCCCCCTTCCCCCCGAGATCTCCCATCGGCCCCCGCGGTTCCTTACCACCCATGCGGCCCTGTGTGAGGTGCACGGCCGGCGCGAGGCCACGGCCCGGCGGCAGCAGCAGGTGAGGGAGGTAGTAGAAGATTCCGCCCATGGGCCCCTCCGCCTCGCGGGGGGCTGCGGTGCCGCGGCTGACGCCGACGACGACGCCGCCGCCGCTGACGCCGGGGACCGCGGCAACGCCGCCGCCGCCGCCACCGCCGACGACCAGCGGCACACGCTTCTCTCGCTTCGCGGCACCTGCACGGCGGAGCGGCAGGGGAGCGGGTGTCACTGAGCGGTGCGTGGCGAGGGTGGCGAGAAAGGCGACGGTGGCCGTGTCAGCTTTGGTAGTGGCGAGGGTGGCGAGAGGGGTGGTGGTGGCTTTTATGGCGGTCATGGCAGTGAGAGGGGTTGGTGGTGGCTGTGGTGAAGATGATGGTGATGCTGTTGCTGCTGTGGTTCTTGCTGATGATGCTGATAATTATACTGGCTGCTGATGACGACAATGTCAATGATGCGATTACTGCTGCCGATGCCGATTCTGCTCCTGATGCTGCTGATGATTTTGCTGCTGACAAGGTCGTTCATGCCGCTGACAATGATGTTGATTCTGCCGATGACGATTCTGCTGCTGATAATGATTTTGCTGCTGCTGCTGAGGAGGAGGAGGATGATGATGTCGCACCGTCGTTGCTGCGGTTGCCGCGCTGCAGGCCGTGCAGCACGGAGGCGAGCTCGCGCGAGCGCTGGGCACTCTTCGTCTCCAGCAGCAGCAACCGCTCGTGCACGGACTGCAGCTCACGCTGGTACCCCGCCACCTCGTCATCTGTGACGACAACAGCAAGAACACACACACATACACACACGCACACACACACGCACGCACAAGCCACCAGGTCGTTAGCAACAACACGGAGGCCACCTCGTCAGCTGCGACGACGACAACAAGAACACACACGCACACGCACACACGAACACAACAACAACAACCGCCATTCGCCACTAAGTGGCGGTGACGTCACCACGATGCTTGTGCCAGGTCAAGTGCACCTTGAGGCCACGTGAAGTGTCGAACGCCCGCTGGCAGGAGGTCACGGGGCAGACCCAGGTGCCACGGGTCGACTGACCGAGATGACCGAGATGACTGGCTGATGCACCACCTGTGCCCCCTACTGTGCCAACTTGCTGTGCTTTAGCCACCCGGCGCTCCGCTCGTTGTTGTGAGCGTCGCTCCTCCGCCCTCCGTTGTTGTTGGAGGGCGACTGCCTCCAACTGCCTAGTAGCGTCCTTCACGAGCCTCCTCCACTGAGGCCGATCTTGACACCGCTGGTACCAGTCATCGGCAAGTCCACTCAGCTCCACGTCCTCCTGTACCACATCACTCCATCTCTTCTCCAGCCCGTGCCGCGCCCGTCTAGCCCCCTCGATCCGGCCGAACAAAAGCTGTTTAGGCATGCGGTGGCTGGGCATGCGGGCTACATGACCCAGCCAACGCAGCCTTGCCTGCCGGAGGAGCTCACTGATGGGACTTTGCCCAGATCTTTCAAGGATTTGTAAGCTCCTCACACAATCCAGCCTGGTTAAACCCAGGATGGATCGTAGGCAGGCCAGCCTAAATGTTTCCAACCGGCGAAGATGCTCCACCAGGGGGGTCCACGTCTCGCAAGCGTAGAGAATGGAGGGAATGACCGTGGCCGAGAAGACCTGAAGCTTCGTGCGGAGCGACAGACCAGGTAGCTTCCACACAGCGTTACGCAACCGATGAAAAGATATTGCCGTTCGAATGATTCGGAGTGAGACCTCTGCTGATAAACTGGAGCCGGTCATAAGCACACTGCCCAGGTATGGGAAACTCTCCACTCTCTCCACACGAACACACACACACGCACACACACACATGCCGCCGCCTCGTTAGCAACAACACGGGGGCCACCTCGTCAGCTGCGGCGACGACGCCAACACACGGCACCTTCCGTGGTGCATCTGCCAGTCATCTCAGTCAGTCAACCCATGGCGCCTGTCCCGTGACCTCCTGCCAGTAACCCTTGGACACTTCACGTGGCCTTCAAGTGCCGCGGCGACGTCACCGCAGCTCAGTCGCGAACGGTGGCGGTTGTGGTGGTGGTGGTTATTGTTGTTGTTGTTGTTGACATGAGCCTGAAGCTCCGTTAATTCAGAACAGAACTTTCATTTTACTCCTAGAACCCACAGTCGTGGGTAGGTGGGGGGAGGCCGTCATCCAGCAGTGGCATGACAACAGGGCTCTACGTGTACACAGGGCCTCATAGAATGTTTTACTGGCGGCAGTGGGAGGAATATTTTCTACAACTCAGCCTCGTACAGCTTTGGCTGGCCTTCAGCGCATGCGTGTATAACATCATTCTTATTACTGTTGTTGTTGTTTTTTCGGGTCACCTGTTCCTACGATGTCAGCGGCCGCTGTCTTCATCTTGCGTTAACGACGAGCGAGTGAATCTTTTACATTCCCCACGGTCATTGCTTCCAATTTATCTACCCCCCCCCCCCACTCCCCGCCCCCTACGCAGCGCAAATCGTTAGCCGGAGCGGCACATTGACAATTAAATGTAGCGGGCGAGCGATCGCCATTGGGCTGTCGGGAGACGCGATCATTTGCCGCGGGGCTGCGCTCAGCCATAAATCGGGACGGGGGCAAGGGAGGGGGGAGGGGGGAGGGGGGAGGGGGCTCACGCGCCCCCCCCCCCCCGCCCGCTCACCAAATTCAATCAGCGTCCTCCGCACCGTGAAATCATCTCCATTGTTCATTATTTATCTCCCTCGAATCTCGCCGCGAGGCTCCCGCGAGCGCCAGCAGCTGGGGGCGCGTGTTGTGGCGGGTAGCGCGTCGCAAGCAGCCGGGAGGCTTAAAAAAGCATCGTCGCGAATCGATTATCTTCCGGATGCGCTGCCACAGGCTGCCTCGCACGTGGGGATGATCGGCGCGAGGCACGACCACGAGAGGGCACGGTACGCCGATCCGTCCTGTGATGTTGTGCCCTGCGTTAACGATAATCGTACCGACAGGTTCGTAGGCACGTCGGACAACAATGTGGACGCAAGAGAGGCGAGATCGTCCGACGCTTCGCTCCGCCCGCCCCAGATAGCTCCTGGGCGGTGACACGACCCCAGCGGTAGCGCATTCGCGACCTGTTGTGGTCGTTCGAATGCAGCGGTCACCCCGATTGTTACTGCGGTGTGTAACAGCCGTGATGATAGCACGCGACGTCTGCTTCCAAGCGGACGTTAAATATCCCCCCGATGTCATTCGCGAGAGTGGGCCATCGTGTGCCTGTGTCAGGGTTCAAGTTGCCAAATTTGAAAATTACCCCGCAAATCGCTCAAGTGAGATTCCACACACGGCAACAATCATTGCTCCCCCCCCCCCCATCCCTACTGGCAGACCGATGCCCCAGGTCACTCCTTGCAGATGAGACTCACTCATCCTGGTCTCTCGGAGCGCTCACCTGGTCAAACAAAATCAACTTGAAAGTTGAACCTTGGACACGAATGCACGTCGATCCTGGGCCGCGCTGCCGTGGTGCGACGGGGCGCGAGGGTGACCACGGCAGACTTAGAAGCCAGGTGTCGCCGGACACGGTTCGATTAATTTTCCCGGCGCGGCAGTCTAGATTTGCCAATCTTAGTTTTTTTCAAAAATAAATTTCTCGCAAGCGATTTAATTGACACAACCGACATCGCAACTACTACTACTACTGGCTGACCCGATGCCCCAGGTCACCACTTGCGAAAAAGAGACTCATCCCAGCCTGGTTAAAACAAACCAAATAAAAAATCACGCACGGAGTGCAAGCGGCATTTCGCAGGGGCTACGCGGATAGAGGTGCCGTTAAACCAGAACCTCTCACACCTCGTTGGCAACGTATCTTGCTGGGATCTGTTTTAATCTCGACGCGGATTAATGCTTTATTTTATTTGCTTAATGTTCTGTGTAATGAGGTTTTTGTTTCTTTACGGTCGCTCGATATTTAGCCCCCCCTCCCTCCCCGTTTGCTGCTGCTGCTGCAGCCACCGCCGCTGTTGTTTCGACGCCGTGCAGCAACGCGCGGAGCCCTGCGAACAAGTTGGCTACGTATGGTGCGAAAGAAGTTCAACATATACGTTGAACTTTCCTATATGTGCTGACCTTCTCTCGCACTGCACGTAGCCAAGCGTGCTAATCGGAGGTGCGGGGGTGGGACAAACTAAACACATAAAGCAGTTCCAAAGAAATTAGTTTTCAATTTAGATTGAAAAGTGCTTAGCTCCAGTGGCTTCCTAATGGAGCCTCGTCCAGAGGACCACTTTTATTCCCAATGGAATATGACTCCAGGTGCTGGAATCATCGTACCACATGCTAAGCATGGCACTGCCACAGTAGTTAAATTATATACACGATGAGTAATTGGGTTATACCAACCCGATTATGTAATTATTATCTTAAATAACTGCTAAAGATGTGCATCGCTAATGGTGAGATGCGACCGGGGAAATCACCACGCCGCCCACTGCCACCCAGCGTGCCATGCACCACCGAAAACACGGTTGTCCGTCAAAAGGATTGTGGAAAAATCTCCCTACCACTGCCACGTGACCTCCGACGCTTGCGAGCTCCATGCCACGTGACCGTCGTAGCAGCTGGGCCGCTTTGTTGAATTTGACGCAACGCGTCAGCGCCAATCAGACGATGATGATCTTCGGGATTGCAATATTCACTAACAAATATATATTATTATTATTTGGGGGAAAATCTGTATCTGATCTGTGGGCTCTCCTGCGTCTAACTGTGAAGTTTTTAACGAGACCGCACGATTTTTTTCCATCCTGATCGGCTGCGCCTGTGGGGGGTGATCTTGGCAATCAAAGCTGTGGGCGAGCGGCAGCACCTGTCACGCAATTAGTTGGCTGCAACTCACTGGTGAATTGCTAAGAACGTGAAACTGACCGCTGCGTTTCTCGATCAAGAGCGAACGCCCCCCCCCCCCCCCCCCGAACGTGTACAGCACACTAACCACGGCACCCGCCAGTACCGCACTGGAGTTTGCCCCAATGCCCTCTGCTGACAACACAGCCCCACAGTAGCAGCTCTCGGCACGTGTTCTGTGCATAGTGGTTGCCTATCAAGCAACCGTCCAGGCTAACCCCCTGCTTAGCTTCTGAAATGTGGGTGCATTCCAGGCAATTTGGTCATAGGCCCTGCAGATATTCCACCCTACCCACCACGACAAAAATATATATCTGGGGGACCATTTATTTTTTTAATGCTCGTTATTTAATCAAGAAAAGCCGAACTCGAGTCTCACTACTCATTTTAAAAAGAAGATTCCTGCTATACTCAGATGTTTGGACACTTCCACCAGTGGGAGCTTGGCTTTGCGTGTGGGAGGAAACCACGCATTTGAAGACGATAACGATTAGATAACGATTAAATCTCCGCACAGATAGATGCAAGAATCTACTCGCTACGCTGCCATCTCCTGGCCACCTCGCAGGCTCCATTCTAAACACATCACCAGGCATTCCTCGGCAAATACTCTTAGTTCATTCGGTAAAGTCGCGTAGGTAAAAAATGAAATTAAAATTAATAAAAATCAAATAAAAACCAAGACGTTTCGGAGGCAACACAAGTCTCCGTCATCAGGTGGGACCATCACAGCCAGCTTCAAATCTAGAATTCCTCGGCAACTTGGCGACGCAGGAATTGCTCCCGCGGCTCCTTCTCTCAACACCAACCCCCCCCCCCCCCCGAGCACAGGGCTGCCACCTGTGCCGCTACAGGAAACGTCGTGGCGAGGAGGAGGAGGAGGAACG